TGTCTACTGCAGCTGAGCTTGAGAGGAGAAAGAATATGGTAGTGGAGAATAGCACAAGGATGGGATAAACCTCCATTGATGTGTTGGTGAAAACTCTGTGCATGAGAGACTTATAAAAAGATGGTGGACATCAACTGAATTTATGTCCATGTTTTTATACACGGTAACATGATGTTGAATAATGTAATTGATTTATAAATTTTTTGTTTCTTTGACCAACCCAAAGTGCACGGGGTGTGTGTGGACTTTGACGTTGACCTCTTAATTTATGTATTTCATATATAATATAGGCATGGTATGTATAGGTGTTGAGGCACGTGCGTTTTGGTTGATGGAGGCAGGACAAAAGCGTTGAGGCTGTGAGACGGTCGCATCCGTTCACGACTCCAAATATCGGATCAAATCCTTTATAAAGTACGATTCATTGGTTGGTTTAAGTTTAAAAGTGATCAATGTTCCAAATCTCTGCTTACACTTCTCACTTTAACTTTTATTCTCACGTCATCCTTCGTTATATTATTCAATGTATTTTGTGTTTATTGTTTTCTATATATGTTCACTGCATAGTAGTTTGCTGTTGGAGGTTCAGGGGAAAATCTCACCAAAAAAATGAAAAACTGAATAACACCATGGTAAACATTAATCTGGATCATATGTATATGTACATACAAGTAATTGAAGCCGTTTTTTGGTTTTATGCATGTGTGCATGTTATGCATCTGTACATATCAGACAAATTGCTTATAAATTACTTGTATGCACGTATGTATAAGGTCAAGATAACGGTTATTAGGGTTGTTACTCGGCTTTTTGTTTTTTTGAGATTTTTTCCCTGAACTTGACCCTATATATACATACACACACACATATATATACATATATATAGGGGTGAGTTCATTTATTAACCCAATATATGGCGTTGATTTTGTGAACCAATCCTAGCCTTTAAATTTTTATAATCTATGGATAAAATTCATCATAGTATTTTTGTAACAAATTCAAAAAGGATGCTTAACAAACATAGGTGAACAATCAAGAACAAAAGGTATTTTTGGGAAAAAAAAAGGGAGATTTCTTTTAGCATTAATTATTTTCCAGTATCATTTTGAAACCGACATCAAGCTTTAATTATTCCTTCATTTATTAATATGTAATGTGTAACTTACGAATAGTGTGAACTAATGAATAATTGTCATATATTAGTAGCACATGAACATTGTTCACCGATGAAAATATAACATATATGAACATGTTCATTAGTGAACATATACCTGAATGTGTACATATATGTGACTGGTGAACACTTATCTACATTAATAAATTAATTCACAGGGAACCCTTGATAAGCGTCCATCGTGTTGTTTGCTTATGAACTTGTTCACTCACAGATCACAATATTGCCAGAACTGAGAATCTGGAGGGTTCCTTCTCTACTGACTTCAAAAACACCGGATGTATCGTTGATGGTTTCACTCGGTTAGCAACCCATACAACGGTACCGGTTGATATATTCTTGTACCATATCCCCAGGTATTGATCTTTGGACTTTCCAGGGCTGAAAAAGCTCAGTTCATACATCTCACCATTTGAAACAATGATGTCACCATCTTTGATTGCTTGATTTGTAGTTATCGTGTCTACTGCAGCAGACCCTGACAGAAGAAAGAATATGGTACTTGAGAATAATGAGATAGAACACCTATTAACACCCATATAAGGACCACAAGAACGAAAACCTTACTAGTTACATATGCTTCCTATCGAGCATACAATTGTGTTATTGTGCATTCATCAACTGATGCATCAGGGTCAAGTTCACGACAGCTCTCTCCGGTGAAAAAAGCTGGTTGTTTGGGTTGAGGCAACACACCCTCGCTAACCAGCATCAGAACCACTGACAACATAGTTGGCCTATCTTCTGCATGATGTTGTACACACAATAACCCAACATGTATTGATCGTAGTACTTCTGAGACAATGCATGAGTTGCGTAATGACAAGCTCACGAGTTCAATAGCTCTGTCTTCTTTGTAGAGTCGCCAGCCCTGAATCAAGCCGAGATCCATATATAAGTATACCAAAAAGGGTATTTTTAAAGAAAGCACTAGTTTCGGGTGCTATGATCTAGTCTACCAGATCCACTTACATGTCCAAGAAGATTGTCTCTATGATCTTCATGAGAAAATTCTCTGTTTTTCTTCCCACTCACTATCTCCAATACCAGAACACCAAAGCTAAATACATCTGACTTTGTAGAGAACCTTCCATGTACTGCATATTCCGGAGAAATGTAGCCACTACAACAATGTTCGGTGAAGTAAATTGACATATTAGTATTAGGGTATTTACATCCTTTTCTTGAGAAAACAGGTGACAAATTGTGCGTGGTTAATAGACCATGGTTTCAGATTCTTACTATGTTCCAACCACTTTCTTTGTTTTTGCAGCATTATCAAATCCTTTGAACTTTCTAGCGAGGCCAAAGTCAGAGATTTTTGGGTTCATGTCATCATCCAGCAGAATATTACCTGCCTTGAGATCTCTATGGATGATTTGAAGGCGGGAATCTTGATGTATATAAAGAATACCTCGAGCCATCCCATGGATGATGTGAAAACGCTGAGGCCAGTCAAGCATCAAACATTTGGTTTCATCTGCAAAAGTCAGCTGTTTAGTCAAGCATTAATTTGGCAGGAAGCTTAACCGTGGCACTACACAAGGTGTGAAAGTAATTAAGGTACTTTGAGAGAGTGAATCAAACCATATAGAAACCAGTCCAAGCTTTTGTTCCTCATGTATTCATAAATCAAAATCAGTTCATTTGCATGAATGCAGTACCCAAGAAGCTTCACAAGATTTCGATGTTGAAGTTTGGCAATACAAATGACTTCGTTCTTGAACTCATCAAGCCCTTGTTGCGATGTTTCCGAGAGCCGCTTCACAGCTACTTCCTGTCCATCTTCCAGCACACCCTAACAGAATAAGGTCAAGAATTTTATGCTACTTGCAATTCTATTTCATATTATATTGACACTTATATTCAAGTATCATAAGTTACCTTGTATACAGGACCAAAGCCACCTTCTCCAACCTTATTGTTGATGTTGAAATTATCCGTAGCCTTGGCTACTTGACGTAAGCTAAAAAAAGGCAGCTCATCAAGATCTTCCATTTGAATGCTTGTATTCGTTTTGTCAAGACCATACCAGTTTCCTACAAAGATGTGTTCAGTTCTCTTGGTTAAACGAATCTGCCAAAATTACACTCATACAAACTTGCAAATTGTACGGATGATTGCTACTGTTTCATTTATAGAAACATAAAATTACTCATTGAAGTTACCTTTTCCTTTCATACGAAGCCTTTTCTTTTTCTTTCTACAGGCATACACTACTGCAAACAGAAGGAGCACAGTTAACAGGACTAAGGTGAGTACCCCATTCCCTTTGTATGCTGTTGCTAACTCAGAGGCAGATATTCTTATATAAAGTTCTTGATCTACATCATACTCTCTGATATCCATCAGCTTATCAAACCATAGCAAACATCCACTTCCACCATTTCTGATATCTAAATTTGCATAAGCTGTACAAGAAAAATTCTTCCTGCATGCCATCTCACATTCTCCAAGGGTCATGCTCAAATTGTACCATGACCTTTGTGTATCTGGAAGTTTCACCCCTGATATCTTCTGAAATCCATCCCCACTTCCACAATTTAAAGGCTTTTTACGTTGACACCCACTCGACCAATCTGATGCCTTCCATTCTTCTGGGATTCTTGGTTCAAAACCTTTAATACAACTACAAGGGGGACGTCTGTTGATGTTACAGCTTCCATAAGGACCACATATTGCATAACGACCACAACTATCTGCGTCAACATCTGCATAAACAACCCATTCTTGTGTTCTCTCTATCCAGTGCATCTGCAGTGTCTTGCCGTCCCACGTGAAATGTATCCTCTGAACAACCGAACTTAAAAGTTCGTATCTGAAATAGATTTCCTTCTGGTCAACAACAAACTCGCTTGAGTAAATTGGATTAGGTATGTCAATAGGAAGGCCACTAAACCCGAGACCATTCCACGGTCCAAGTCTCGATTGCAAAACTCGACCTTCCCTCCGAAGTATCTGTGGATACCCATTTGTGTCTACCCAAATTAAATATCGACCTGGAGAAGGATCATCAGGACTCTTCCAAGGTGTCAAATACCTCTCTCTACCTGTTTCCAAATCCTTCCCAAACTTCATTCCTGGCAACAATGTGTCACCAAAGTAATCAAAACTTTGCCAGATGAGTCTTTTTTTGGTGCTACTTTTGTCCCACACAACTAGATTTCCGGTTTCGAGAAGCTGTGCCACCGGATCAAGATTCCGGTCTGATAGCGTGGAATTAGACGACCAGATTACAGTATTCCCACCACTGACAACCATCAGGTTTCCATCTCTACTGACTTGAAACCTGCCGGATGTATCCGAAATTGGTGTCTCCCTGTTAGCCACCCATACGACAGTACAAACTGATATCTTCTTGTACCATATTCCCAAATACCGATTGTTAGAGTTTCCAAGGCTAAAGAACCCCAGTTCAAACATCCCAGCGTGTGATACGATGGTGTTGCCATCTCTTATAGTTTGATTTGCAGAGATGGTGTCTACTGCAATAGAGCTCGAGAGGAGAAAGAATAAAGCTGTGGAGAATAACAGAAAGATGGAATTGGAATTGGAATTGGAATGAATCCCCATTCCAGTTTTCTTGGGTGGATGAGGGGTCAAAGTTTATAAACATCTCATATTCTCGTACATCGTACTTAAGATGTCGGCACGTAACGTTATAGAAACTTGGACAATTCGCCACCCAACTTTGAAAATAGAGCAACTTACAAAAATATCCCATGTTTAGTCGCTTTGGTTTCATTATCAAGCTTTTATCATCTTCAGTCAATGATGCATGAGTTAACGGTTTCTAAAGTCTAAACTATTTAAAAATGTAGACTTATTCAAATAAACTTTTTCCTGCCCAACCCTAAATCCCAATATGTCTATGAAAGTCCCAGGTACTAGAGGTAAAGGTTGACTTCATACCAAGGGGAGTGATAATAAAATGCTTTTAAATTTGAACCATGATTAAAAATAATAAAAAATCAAAATCAATCAAAATATAATATATTTTATTATTATTACTTTATATATTAATATAATTATATATATAATTCCTTATATTATATATTTTATATAAA